CTTCGCAGTCCAGTCAAGATGAATTAATAGACTTCCCTTTCTTGTAGGATAAATGAATAAATGCATGTCTTTGTATCGTCTAGTTTCTTCCTCTTTCATATTTTAATTTTCTATGGTATTTCTTACTGTTTGATTTTCAATATATGGCATACTTACAGTTATTACTTCGTTTGCTTGTTAACCAATTTTTTTCATGAAATAACTAGTGCATTCATTAAATAAAACTGTTATTCTTGAACACAATTGGCTAGTCCTAAGAATGCAACTCGATGAGGAAAAATAAGGAATAGATGGCTACTGAATATGCATGTTTTGTTGAAAATCTAGGCACCAGTCTTATAGTCTATCGAACCTGTGTTGCTCTAGCCTCTAAGATCACAAAACATGAAAAGAAAATTTACCTTGTTGTTTTGGTACGACAAATAACTTCTCAAAAAAAAAAAAAACTTTAAACAACTATTCATTAGTACTTGTTTCCAAGTTACTTTTTGAAGTGCAAATGTTGTAGAGTATATCTAGTTAATTTCTAGATTCTATGGTCAATTGACAATTGTAGAACGTAGTTTATAAGTTTTTGTGGAAGCATAACATTGGTTGAAGCGAATGACTTGTGCTCTCCTTATATTGTCTTGGACAATCCTCCCTCATGGACTAGCTTTTAAGGTTGACTATTGAGTTAGATCCAAGATCTATTTCTTCACATGGTATCATAGCCAGGCTCATCGATCCTGGTTGTTGTGTTTTTCAATGTTAGATCCCGCGTTATGTTATCCATGCTCCTCCCACCACCAGTTTTCTAATCCTGCGCATTTCTGAGTGTTAAGTTCCGCGTTGGTTGAGCAAATGTGTTATAGTCTCATTATATGGTCTTAGATAGTCCTATCTGCATGAGACTTTAGGGATTGAGGTAGATCCGAGGTCCATTTCCTCACACATACATCCCAAAATAGCTTTCAACGTCAATGGCACATCAAGCACTGATGTCAAATTTTGCCTCTAAAAGCTCCTATTCAGTACAAGTTCTAGAATTGTTGTGTCTTCTTCCAAAGAGGCAACTTTGATCGTTCAACCTCAAAAGGGCATGAGACATTCATAAACACCAAAAGAAGCATCTTAATTAAGTCAAAAAGTACAAATGTCAGTTACATACTCTATCAAAAAATGGCACCAATGTTACATAGAGCAAATATTTTAAAATTAACGTAACACTATAAAAATGTAAAAGACTACCAACATATGGTACTTTGGGTTGGAGGCATTTGGTCAATTATGTCTAGTTCTCCTAGTGGTTCAGGGGTTTTAAATTTGTAATTTTTCGTTATTAGTCATAATACATAGAATGCCTCATTGCTACTTTCTGTTATTGTGCCATAGCCCCAAATGGTTGAAGTTGAGGAGTAATTGGCAAGTCATTAGTGTCCAAATTTAATGAAATGAGTCCAAACACTAAAACAATATTGAGATGCAACAGGTCGTGACCATCGAATATCAGTATTTGACATGGTATGAAGTCAGAGCACTGTCATAAATTTAGAACATGCTTCTTAGCTAGGGAGCATTATCCGATGCCCAATATTTTTTAAGTTATCTTCAGCTTATAATCATTGAATTTGACCGGAAAAATCTTTAGAAGTGTATAAAGAAAAAACTTTCCAGGTTGGGCTAATAAATTTTTGATATACCCATGTTTACAAGTAAAGTATTTTTTTTTTGTTTTGCTCTGGAACAGGGAGGATTGGGATGACCTGAGGCCATAGGTTCTGGTTTTGCCTAAAAAATTGATATTTCTGTTATTTCCTCTATCCTTTGTCAATTTGGTTGTGTATTTTTTTATGTCTTATATTTATTAAGAGAAATTCAAAATTACCAATTAGGAGAAACAACCTCTCTACCTCCCAAGGTAGGGGTAAGGTATGTGTACACTCTACCCTCCCCAAACCCCACTTGTGGGTTTACACAGTGTATGTTGTTGTTTTGTGGTTCCACATTGACTTTTGTGTCAAGGAAAAAGAAGTTGAGGGCAGAATGATATTTAAACAGAGTGAAAGAGGGTTACACAACTTTTTCTAGTTTTTAAAATGTATAAAATTTTCTATTTAAAGAGAGTGGGGACACATTTTGCTTTCCTTGGAATATTTTGATCTTATACTAAACATATTTATATGCGTGTAAAAAATATAGAGATTCTTTTAAAAAATATTTAGCTTATTTTCACTTCCATTTTTGTTTGGTACGATGATGGCATGAGTTGAACTTAAATGGAGAAACACGGTCTGTGAGGATTCATATAGCTAACAACTTGTTTGGGATTAAGGCGTGGTTATTGTTATTGGGCCACATTTTGGGACAACCTGAAAAAAAGAAATAGGACAAGTATTTTGGGAGGAAGGGGTATTAACCAGCATCACTAAAGGCACGTTTAAACCTTGAAGTTTGGTGTAAACTCAGTCTGAGTACTTCACATTGGCCATTGCGGAAGCAACTCTTTGGCATAGACACTGACGCTTTGAAGCATTCTCATGGTCTCTGTCTTGAAGAGGTTGATGCTGATCAATAAATAGAGCTAGCAAAACAGCATATACAGCTAACAGATATTCTGGATAAATATGATAGTGATTAAGAATAGAAAAGTACCGCACTTGTGGGATTACACTTGGTATGTTGTATTAAGAAAAGAAAAACTAGATTATAGATTGTTTTATAGATATACTGCTTGTATACATGGGTTTTCACCCAATTTGATGGATATATATATACCGCCTATATATTGGGGGAGGGGAGGGGGTCAATAATATTGTGTACTTTATCCCAAAAAAAAAAACAGAATTGCACTTGCTTCTGGATCAAAAAGTCCAAAATAGTTTTTGAACTTGATTGCATGGTTTTGACTCCCTATACCTTATTAAATGTAGTAACCATTTTCCCCCATGTATCTGTTGTTTGCATTTATAGTTGTTTTTTGTTGTGTTACACATGTGTTTCTTTTTTCCCACCTTACTCTACGTCTTTCTCCACTAAGGTGCAAGTTTTAAGTGCACTTTGTTCTTAAAATTTCAGCATCCCTTGATGCAAATCTATGCTTTTCGCTTTTGACAACATCGTCTTCAATAGATCAGGACTTTGTACCACACCTAATTTGTACTGTATGCTTCTCTTTTGAATTTCTAAGATTCTTCAGCGATCCAAATCCAGGCATCTTAATTTAGCAATTTCTTGTCTGCGAAAATGTGACTTCATCAATGAAAAGAAGATTAAATTGAGGCAGGTAACCCGTGGAATTAGTCAAGGTGCACGCAAGCTAGCCTGGAAACCACAGTTATTTTTAAAAAAAGAGATTAAAACGAGACTTTCAGATTACTCTAATCTGGTTCTGATCTTCCAGGAGTTCACCTAATTTTTTCTTTGGGATTTAGAGTATACTAGTGTTGTTGATATCCATGTAATTTGTTCTTTACAGTCCACCTATTGTAGTTTCAGTCTCTTAGCAATTTAATTCGCCTGCTGTCTAATAGGGTATCTCTCGGGCACTATTATTTGTTTTAACGTCTAATTAAATCACCTCTATCAGCTATTTCTTATAAATGATATATTGTAACATTGTAATCTTAATTTTGTAGGCCATGGCAGGCTTCATGTCTCAGGTCATGGGAGAAAAAGTGTCATTTGATCCATCTCGAATGGTGTTAACATCAGGTGCAACTCCGGCCATTGAGGTTCTGTGCTTTTGTTTGGCTGACCATGGGAATGCTTTGCTTGTTCCAACCCCCTATTATCCTGGGTAATTTCTAATTTCAACCTGATTTAATATAATGTCACATTGTCCTTTTCTATCTCCTCCAGTATGCACACCAGTGCTGTGCAGCTCGTGTGTAACTAGATTCTGTCTGCAGCTTTGATAGGGACATAAGATGGAGAACTGGTGTAGATCTTATACATGTTCACTGTCGTAGCTCCGATGCTTTCATGGTGGACATAACAGCTCTTGATCAAGCATTTAGTCATGCAAGAAAGCGAGGGCAAAAGGTCCGTGGAATACTTATCTCAAACCCGTCTAACCCTGTAGGGAGCATTATGAGTAGGGAAACGCTATGTGGAATCTTAGATTTTGCGAGGGAGAAGAACCTCCATGTAATATCAGATGAAATATTTGCTGGATCTAATTATGGTGGTAAAGAGTTTGTAAGCATTGCTGAAATTCTTGATGAAGAGGATCCTGACAGGGACAGGGTTCATATAATATATGGATTATCCAAAGACCTTTCTGTGCCAGGGTTTAGGCTCGGCGTTCTGTATTCCTTCAATGAGAATGTTGTGGCAGCATCTAAAAGGTTGACAAGATTTTGTGCCGCTTCAGCACCAACACAGAGCCTATTAGTTGCAATGCTTTCAGATGCTGGGTTCATCAAGGATTATATGAGAACAAACAGAGAGAGATTGCGCAACGTGTTTGACTTATTTGTGGCAGGTCTAAAACAATTGGGCATTGAATGCATGAACAGCAGTGCAGGCCTGTATTGTTGGGTTAATATGAGCGGATTGATTTGCCCTTACAATGAAAAGGGAGAGCTTGAGCTGTGGGAGAAGCTCTTGAATGTAGCTAAGATAAACGTGACTCCAGGGTCAGCTTGCCATTGTATTGAACCTGGATGGTTCAGATGTTGTTTTAGTACGGTAGAAGAAAAGGACATTCCTGTAGTTATGGAACGGATACGTAAAGTGTTGAACGTAGTTAGGCCTGCTGATTAAATGTTTATAGCTTTAAAATGGTGTATGCTGTGTTAGTTATGTCATCTTTTTTCTGAGAATGCACTGTCCCTATTTTGGAATTCGATATGTGCATCATTGACACTTAATACTAAAGTTGCACTCATGTTGCCAATTATAATTCCAAGCTGTACAGTAGAATGTGAAACGTGTTGCACAAGTTTAAATTAAGAACGGATAACAGAAATGACTTTCTTAGGTGACGAGACAGTAAGCCCTTTCAAAGTTGTGCCAAACTGTGAATCAAGATGCGCATCTTTCAGATTAGTTTGAGTTGCAATTGCCTCTTCCACTTGTTGTGCAGTTCGCCAATGCTGTTGCCAATTCCAAGGATGCAGCTTCCAAAATCATCATCATCCATCATTTCCTGCAACAAGTATTATATTGTTCTTGTTTAAGTCGGGCATATATAAAGAGGGTTAATTGGAAAATGTCTTACTGCTATTTAATGCGAATTATTATGCACGTGTTTACTAGTTGTTGGGTTAAACAGGATAAGTGATTGATGTTTTTCAGAGAACTACCTTAGAGATGGTCTGCTTCTGCATTTGAACGGTTTTCCTTTGGTAACTTCTTCTTCGGCTCATCATTATCAGCTCACCTAGAGTTAGTGGATGCCTTACTTTGATGCTGCAATTGTTTTCACGAACTTGATTGTTATTAAGTGCTTTCGGAGGAACATGAGAATGCCCTTTTTCAGGGTTGCTGCAGTTCTGAAGAAAGCTTGTATTAGGTGATAATAGAGGGAAGAGCTTTTCCAGAAAAGCAGTCCCAACCAAGCTTGTAGTTCCAGTGGCATAACTAAGAACACTGCTGCCCGCTTCAGAAGTTGGTGAAAGAGGAGTCTGTAGCTGGCTGTGGTGTATGTCTGCTGTCGGAGAAGTTTGCTCCACAGGAACAGCACTTGAAATGTCCACAGTTGGTATGAAGCCATTAGCTAGGAGGGAAGAAGGGGCTGAGCTGAAGGATTCATAAATTGATTCAGAATCAGATGCCTCAACTTCTGATTCTGACATCTCATCTTCTTCATGACTACCATGCTGATCAATGTACTCGCCAATTCCAGCCCAGAAGTCATCTCTACCTTCATGCACAACCCTAACAGTTGAAGGTAAGCCAACAATATTTTCGTGTGGAGATGTCTGGGAGAAGAAAGGGAGTGGTGTTCCTGGCTTTTCTTCCCATTCAAAGGGAACAGAAGCAATGAGCTTAACTGGGGGTGTAAACGTAAATGCACCACTTGTAGTAGCCATAGCTACAGGCTTTGGTTTCCAATCCTTTATCGGTATTCCTGGTCTTTCTTCCCAGATAAACGGAATAGAAATTTGTTGTCTCTCTTTCTTGCAGGTTGAATTCCCAGAAGGGTTGTTTTCTGCCATTGGAGCAACATATATTGTCATCGCCATTTTCGTTTTTTTCTTTGTTGGCTGAAGGAACATCACATACATATATATATATAGCAGAGAGTAAGTGGGTTAGAGGAGTTTGCAACTAAACCTACATGCCAACCGCACCATTTCTGCAAAGAAAGGTTAGGCAAACGTACTGTCTGTTATTGATTATAATATATTATTAATATGAAGATATCTCTCTTACCTAAGCACTCGTGTGAGAAGAATTCTTTGACTAAACATTTTTGGGCAAATTCTTTTTGTTGAAGAAGCGTGGTGTCATAGCCAATTGAAGAATTGGTCAACAAACTTGATATGCCTTACCAAACTACTTAAAACTTTTTGGTAAAATTTAGGCTGGGTAGTGGGTTCAATGTTCACTAGTAGTTTATTAGTGCTCTACGAACTACTACAATAGGAAAAATCCTTGGAGGCCTTCTCTTGAAATTTTGGTCAATTTTCTATGTACTTTTCACCACTAAAGGATAGTTTGGTTCGTGGTTAGAATTATGCATTATTAGAAGTGTTTGAGACTAGTTATATCGGATTTAGTTATGCTTGGATTGGTTGGTTAGTTTAGGTATTCCATCTTCAATTCATACTAAATAAACATATTATTGGTTTTTTAAACGCATTATTTTCCTAAAGATGATCATCTTACTTCAAATTTGGAATAGGTTAAGAAATAAAAATATTTTCTATTTTATTAGGATTTTTTTTATCGGTATCCAAATGAAAATTAATGATGGGATTAATAGTTTTCTCTTCTTAATTTTATTTTAATAATTAAAATAGAATAACTCCATGTACCTCTTTAACGGTTTAACCCACAATGTAGGTATATATGACCTACATTGTGGGTTAAAGAGGTACATGGAGTTATTCTATTTTAATTATTAAATAAAATTAAGAAGAGAAATCAATTATTTCCTACTTATTTATTAGTTAAAGTAATTTTAAAAGAAAAGAAATAAAGTTGAGTTCTTTAATAGTAATAATAATTTTGTTAGGAAAAGAATATGTTTAAAAAGAAAAAAGAAACCCTACTAGAAAAAAGGCATTTTGACCCATTAAGTAATAATAAAGATATTTTTGAATTAAACTATTAATGAAGGGACATTTTAAAACCAAATTATTAACTGAAGACATTATTATTCAATTTCACATAGTTTAAAACATTTTGTTTTCTTATCCATTGTTTTATTCTATTTTATAATAAGATTTTCTTGAATATGTTTGTGGACCAACTAATTAAGACTTCACACTCAATGTCCACATTCTCATTATTAATCACCATGATTTTGATTTGCCGCATTGGATTGATTTAGCTCCTATGTAATGGCGATTTAATTATTTTTAAAAACATAAGCAGGTAATTATACCATGATCTAAAGGGTCTGTGACATGTAAAAATAAATAAATTATTTACTAAATAATTATTCTAAAAAAGACGATGAAAGAAAATTTCACTTAAAAGAATGAGACAATTTCATATATATACAATAAAGAAATTTTATTTGTACCCAATGTAGCTAAATTTTCATTTACATAAAATAACCAAAATTAGCAATATACGTATGGGCATCAAAAATTACTTTCAACAAAATGACTATATGTATATGTAATGTATCTGATATTGTATAAATATGTATATTCGTGTATAGATGATGAATAACTATATATTAGAGATGTATATACATTTATACACATTGTTGATACAATAAAGTATACATTGCAGATCGATTTTCCCCCCAATTCCAACCAACTCAAATCTTCTCTAAGCAATTCTCAACGTTTTGAATCTTTTGATGATATATTATTCACTCAAAACGATTAACGTTTGCGACATATCGATTCTAAAATTTGAGTTTTAAAGATTTTCAATGGCAAACTTCAATGGTCATCAACTCAAATCTTCCTCAAAACAATTCAAAATTTTTAGTAATGAACTTCTCTTTTGATATATTATTCACTCAAAATGAATTTTAAAAATGATTCACGTTTTCCTCCCCTATTTTTCTTCAATGACGAAAATAGTAGTACTATATTCTAATAATGACGCCCAAAATAGAAACAGAATAAGAAGGAAAAATTAAGGTAGTTGGAAGAAAGCAAATCATGATTCAATTCTTAGCTAGTTGTTTTCTCATGTGTATGGTGAGTAATTAAAAAGGAGTTGGAAATTTCTTAAGATGGTTAATGTGTTGAAATTATGATAGTCAACTGACTAATTGAAGTAAAAAATGAAAATTGGACTAATTTGGGTTAGTAAAAGTGACCCAATGGTCATTTTCTTTACGGTAACTTTAGAAATTCCCCTTTATGAGTTAATTACTTAGATATATGTTAATTTGTAATATTATAAATCTTATCAATTTTAGACTTCAAATATATGTATTTGACATATCCAGTATTATTAGTTAAGGCAATATATATAAGATTGTTATACTCATATGTCAAAAAAGCATCTAATTAATTAGTGAGACAATATTTAATTATTTCAAACTAGAAGATAAATTATAAAAATAGTAGGAATATTTGTCTAATTAGGTAACTTTCTCTCTCTTAAAATATACTTAAAAGAAGGAGGAAGTTAGTGTGGAGCTGCCCAAATAGGCTAATAAAATTTCCAAATATGATTTTTAGGGAACTCCTAGTTTGATTATTATTTGGATTTCATAAAAGTTTCCTCTAGGCTCTATATATAAAGTAATTATAACCCCAAATACATCATTATATATACACCCATCACTACGACTAATCAGTTGCATAAAAACACATTATAACCAAATAATTAAGAAGAAAAAATGACTTCTTGTGACAAAATAGAAAACCCAACTTTATGCCCAAGGAATTGTTGTTCCTATGCAAATTCAAGAAATCACGATCCCTATGATGAAATATATTTATTCCACAAGATGTTTCTTCTTACTATTAAAACCGGAAAAGATGATTTGATGATGAAGACGAAACCACAAAGATGCATGGTTTGCAGGAAGAAGGTGGGATTACTAGGGTTCAATTGTAAGTGCGATGAAATATTTTGCGATACTCATAGACATCCAGAAGAGCATGCATGCACTTTCAATTTCAAGTCTATAGGAAGTGCGGTTTTGGCCAAGAAAAATCCACTATGCAAAGCTGATAAACTTAAGAATAGGATTTAAATTACTATTATTGATTATGTATCAAGTTTGTTATTAATAGTACCTAATAGTGTAATATTGCACTTCCGTTTCTATTAATGTCATGTATACTATTGTTGAGTATAAGGTACAAAAATTTAAGCCACAATGTTCAATTTTTTCCACCTTAATTTATTTTAATGTATTTTCCATCTCTCAATATAGATACTTGACCATCCCAAATTGGACGTATAATTAGGGTTAATGTGTACTTATCTGATATGAAAGACGAAACAAGAAGATGATTAATTTATACTCCCTTCGTTAATCTTTCATCGAAATTATATTATTTTAGGATGTTCAACAATACTTATCTAATTTATAAAACCAATAAATAATTTATAATTTTGTATCTATTTTACCTTTGCTATTAATTACTATGCATTTTTAATTGTTTATATAACTTATACTCACTCTATTCCATATTAACTGAATTTGTGATGTAATGCACACTTATTGAAAAAACATTCAAGGACATAATTTAAATCATATTTTCCACTATTGTCCTCTGTGAAATCATAAATCTAGAAAATATCAAAGGAAAGGGCAAATAAGGAAAAAATTTCAAACATCCATCTTAAACTTTGAACAATGAAAAACCCCCAAAATTCAGTTAACATGGAATAGAGAGAGTATTTGATAAGAGTGATTTGGTAAAATTACCCAATTATTTACTATTTTTTATTTTCCTAGTCAAATCAATAAAAAACGACTATTATTATTGGACTGAAGAAAGTAATTTTTAAATTATACACCATTTATATTTGAAAGTTCCATAAATGATACTGTAAGAACTTTAAATTGCACGACTAATGATATATCTTAACCTACCATAATCAATTGCACAAATATAAGCTATTTGAGAATCGCTATTCAAGAATAACCGACATTTAATTTTTTAAATTTCATGTATTTAGATGTATTTGACTTAAAATTTGATATGATTAATTAGTGAAATAATATATAATTATTTCAAACTAAAAGATAAATTAATAAAAATAGTAGGAATATTTGTCAAATTAGGTAACTTTTTTCTTTCTTAAAATATCCTTAAAAGAAGGCGGAAGTTAGTATAGAACGGCTCAAATAGGCTAATCAAATTTCCAAATATGAATATTAGGGAACTCCTAGTTTGATTATTATTTGGATTCCATAAAGGTTTCCTCTATATATAAAGTGATTATAACCCAAATACATCATTATATATATACCCATCACTACGACTAATAAGTTGCATAAAAACACATTATAACCAAATAATTAAGAAGAAAAAATGACTTCTTGTGACAAAACAGAAAACCCAATTTTATGTCCAAGGAATTGTGGTTCCTATGAAAATTCAAGAAATCACGATCCCTATGATGAAATATATTTATTCCACAAGATGTTTTCTCTAACTATTAAAACCGGAAAAGATAATTTGATGATGAAGACGAAGCCACAAAGATGCATGGTTTGCAGGAAGAAGGTGGGGTTACTAGGGTTCAATTGTAAGTGCGATGAAATATTTTGCGAGATTCATAGGTATCCGGAGGAACATGCATGCACTTTCAATTTCAAGTCTATAGGACGTGCGGTTTTGGCCAAAGAAAATCCACTATGCAAAGTTGATAAACTTGAGAATAGGATTTAAATCACTATTATTGATTATGTATCATATGTATGAAGTTTGAACTAAAATTATATTTGGGTGAGTACTTTTTGATCAATAATTATTGATTTTAGTGATACTTTTTATTTATTATCATTTATTACAATACATAACAATACTATGATAAATTTGCAATATGTAATAAAAGTAAATTATACATGCAATATATATATATATTAGAAGTG